GATCCCACATAACTCACTGCACAGTTCAAGTCCCGGCCCGGCAGCTTGAAAATCATGCCACTGCAGGTGCGAGCATGCCCCAAATCCTGAGAGAATGGAGGAGGGACTCCATGGCCATCCCCTCCCCTGTGGGGGTGGGGGAGCAGTGATCTCTCACTTCCCTCCCTTTCTCTGTCTCTCTCTGGCAAGCACACGCGCTTATAGCAACACTCTAGGGAAAGCAGGGTTCTTAGCACATGCCGCAGCGTGGTTGGTCCCTGAAGACACAATGTGAAGTGAGGGAAGCCACACACGTGGTTCCACGTACATGAGGTCCCTGAAGTGGTCAGACCCCTGAGACAGAGGCAGAGGGCCAGTAGCCAGGGCCCGGGGGGAGGGGAGGTGATAGGAGGAGCTGTTGCTTGATGGGAACAGAATTTCAGTTTTGCAAGACACGAACTATTTAGGAAGACAGTGGTGCTGCACATGGCAGCCTGGAGGCGGCGCTGCACACGGAGACAGCTGACGGTGGGCCAGAGTCTCAGTTTTGCAAGATAGTCAGTTAGGAAGACAGCGATGGTGCAGCGCGTGACAAGGTAGGTACTTAACGCCGCGTCACTACACACAGGACACAGCTGAACGGTGGGCTGGCCCCAGAGAGTGGCACTTACGCACTCCACCGAGGAAGCTGGAGCCCACCCGGCCAGCCAGGGTTTGAGTCCCAGCCCTGGCAGCACACACGTGCACACGCCTAGTAACCTGATGGGGCGGAGACCTGGAGAGGCGAGGACCGCAGCCCCTCAGGCAGGGTAAGGGGAAGACCGCCATAATGGTTCATGGTAAGTTTTATGTTGTATTTTACCACAGCTTTTCAACAAGCGCCCAGCACCTAGGGCAAGCCCTGGGCACCCCAAGGCCTTGCGGTGCAGAATGGCTGAGGGGACCCCTCGCACCCAGCCCAGGGCGCCCACACCCCACATTCTCAATCTCGCGGCCTGTGGCAACTGTGTCACCCTTAGAGCAAGCTCACATACTAATCCCTGAACCAGAAAAATCTCCAGACAGACCTGATTAGGGACCTGGGGAAAATGGCGAGGCCCCCGACAAAGCCGTGCAGGTCAGCACACCACCCTCTCATCTGGGCCCTCGCCTCCAGGGCCATGCCCAGGTGGCCCCAGCCTGGCTCGGGGTCTTGCCTCCCCCAGGTCTCAGCGGCAGGCAGGCTGGGGGCGGGCTCTGGGATGCTCCGGGGGGTCACCCGCTGAGCATCCCTGCCCACGCCCGGCCGAGTGAGGAGCGGGGAAGGCCGGAGCGGCCGGGGAAGGCCAGAGCGGCCGGGGAAGGTCCAGGACGTGGGACCACCCACACACCCAGGGCAGGCAGGGACTGGTGGTGGTGAGCAGTGGCCCCCGAGTCTCCGAAGGTGGCCTTATTTGGAAAAGCATCTACAGACGTAATTAGTTACGGCTCATGAGATGCGATCACCTAGGACCCAGGAGGTCCTAGTCCGTGGCCAGCATTCCTGTAAGAGAAGGCCAGGCGAGGCTGGGGACACAGGGAAGGCCACGCAGTGACAGGGCAGAGCTTGGAGTGACACAGCTACAAGCCAATGAGTGCCACAGATCGCCTGGAGCCACCAGAAGCCAGAGAGAAACCCGGGACAGAGCCTCGCAGGTAGGGACCCGCCTGCGTGATCTCAGACTCCTGGGCTCCAGCACAGAGGCCAAGGCCCTGCTGTCACTTTGAGCCTCCACATTGTGGCACGCGGTGATGGCGGCCTTAGGAAACTACGTCTCGGGCCGAGGTCCCCGCTGGTCGGACAGGAAGAGGGTGAGGAGTGCGGCAGGACGGCCTCTTATCTCCCAGGCAGGAGGGCAGGCCCAGAGCCGTGTCCACTGTGTCCAGGCCGGGTAAGAACTCCCAAGAAAAAAACAGCAGGGCAAGGGACAGGACTGAGCCGCTGCCCGCGTGTCTGCCCACCCCAGAGCACACGCTGAGAGCTGGGCACAACCCCCCCGCCCCACTGCATCGGGTAGGCCCT